TAATATCAATGTATGAATCAAAATGGTCTCAAAAATCAACATGATTGTTAATCACAATAATTACAGTGTGAATTTATCCGTCCTCTCTGTGCGCTGCTGCCCCCTGCAGGTGGACAAGAAGAAGAAGGAGAAGAAGGACAAGGAGAGAGAGAACGAGAAGGAGAAGAACGCGCTCGCCAAGGAGAGAGTGCAGAAGAAGAGACAGATGACATCATCAGCGAGCGCCACCGTCTCCAGGTCCAGACCGGAGGCCAGGTACCGACCGGATCCGGAACGTCTTCCTTCATCCTCCTCTCTGCTCCATAGCGCCCCCCGGGCCAGGAACCGGCCCCCGTCTCCGGCCCCCAGGAGCCGGCCGCTGTCCCCTCTGGTGCCGGCCTCCAAGCCGCCCCCGGGCAAGAAGACGCCCTCACCCGCCGCCAAGCCCCGCCCCAAACGCGCCCGGACGCCCGCCAGAGTGCGGCCGCAGGCCGTGGCCTCCGTTACCGTGGAAGCCAGGAAGGAGACGGCGCGCATCGACGGCCTGGAGGAGAGAAGCAGTGAGTTGCCACGGCGATGTACACTGTAAACACAGATAAGTTAGCAGAACTCAAGCTCAGAGTTTATAAACTTAAAAACAAGTCTGATTGTTTCATTCCATTTTGAAAATAGTTCAATTAAAACCATTTGAAGCTTTTAAATATATAAACTCAAACATTTTTATCTTTCAAGATTTCTGGCTGTTTTCAACAAAACTCAAATAAATAATAACGGTAAAATGTGACATTGTTTGAAATACAGAAACATAAAATTGACTTTAATCAAAACAGCATGAAGTAAAATGACGGTTATAAAGCCTGAGAAGCCAATCAGATCCTCCAGATGCGAACGATCTTACAGCATTCAGACCCAATCAAAGGCTCACAGAGAGGAGGAGTTTTCCTCTGACATCATTTCCTGTTTCCTCCTCAGGCTGCAGCGTCGTTCCCGCCATCGTGGTTTCCTCCGTGGTTTCCTCCGCCCCCCTGACCCCACCGTCCCTCAGCTCGCCCGTCGTAGCGTCGCAGCCCGCTGCTGCGTCTGCCCCGGCCGCAGCGCCGCCCAGCAAGCCGTCAGCCGGCACCAATGACCCGGAGGAGGCGGCGCGCGCTCTGGCGGAAAAACGGCGCCAGGCCCGAGAGCAGCGGGAGCGGGAGGAACAGGAACGGCTGGAGCAAGAGCACCGCAACAGGTGAGGATGACGTCGCCACAGAGAGGATGACATCAGCAGGAAACTTTGACTAGGACAGGAAATGTTAAATTTAGTGTTAATCAGCTCATGCTACTTTCAAATAGTTAAAATAATTTGCACACTCTGCATTTCTATTCCAAATATTTTGAAGTTTGCTGCTCCTGTAAGGTTGACATCATTCACTGCAACAGCTGATATGATGAAAGCTAATTCCAAATGGTGCTAATGCTAGCGCCTATGCTACACATCCAGTGGCTCAGTAACGATGAAGCATCTGGTGTTGACTTGCGGTGATGGGGCCCAGATGAAAATCTGCCCGGGCCCCAGAGCGGTTTGGGCCGGCCCTGTCAGAGAGGAGAACTGGTTTTATTCCAGCCGTAGCCTGAAGCCGCTCTCTGCTCCTCAGGCTCCTGCGGGAGGAAGCGGCGGCCCGCGACGTCGAGGAGAGGAGGCGGCGCGGAGAGGAGGCGCGCTTCATGGAGGAGCAGCAACGCCTCCGGGATGAAGCTCAACGCGCAGAGGAAGAGGAGGAGGCGCAGAGCAAGGCCAAGGCCGAGCAGGAGGAGAACGAGAAGCTGCAGAGACAGGTGGGTCACTGCCCAGGTGCTGCTGGCTGAGGAAGCTAATGGAGACTTTCAGGATGTTTTTCACCAAGAACCTCTGAAGACGCTGAGAGCAACTTCCTTCTTCACCAGTTGGAAAAGAATGGAGGCACCAGATTTTAGTGGTTAGAAGATTTGTCTTTGTCTCGTCTTTGGCTAAAGACCACAGGATAGCGCAGGATGTGGGCAATCTGGGTCCTCAAGGCCGATGTCCTGCAACTCTCGGATGTGTCCCAGGTTGAACCCGCTTCAGTCAAACAGCTGAATCATCTCTGAAGAGCAGTCAGGTTCTCCAGGTCTTGCTGATGACCCCATTATTTGACTCAGGTGTGTTGAAGCAGGGTCACATCCTGAAGCTGCAGGACTCGAGACCTGCAGTTGCTGAACAAGCGCTAGGCTAGCAGGTTGGTTTAGTTGTATTTACCCAGAATGCTGAGGTTCGGAGGACCAGAGTGTGATTTCTCCATTTTGACCTGACTCCAGTCCATTTGCCCAGAAAGTCCAGTTTTGTTGGTGAGGTGTGAACGCGAGTCGACCTGTGACCTCCTGACCGCTAAACCTCGGTCTGGGTTCGGTTGAAGTGAACTCTGGTTTGGTTTGATCAGAGATTGCTCCAAAAGCAGGAAGTGGACCACAGGGTCACATCCTGAAGCCAAAGCTGACATGCTAGCTTAGCATTAGCAAGAGAAATGGCTCCCGGCCTTTAACCAAAAGCTAAAGAGAAATCCTCCAACACTAAAATCTGCTGCCAGTGCATCAGGCGCTGATTAAGGATTTAAGCTCAGCAGTTTTTTGTTTTTTTTGGGAGCTTTTCAGATTTTATGTTTCTGACCTTCAGCTCAGAGCTGCAAAAACACTGCAGACTCAGCATCTGCTGCCCTCTCCTGGCTGCAGGTTGAGCTGGTCAGAGCGTCTCCTCTGGTTTGTGTCTTTGTCCTGCAGAGGGACGAGGCGGAGACCAAGGCACGCGAGGAGGCAGAGCGTCAGCGCGAGGAGAGGGAGAAGCACTTCCTGAAGGAGGAGCAGGAGCGGCTGGAGAGGAAGAAGGTGAGGGAAAGTTCATGTAGTCACGGCGCGGCGCTGTGAGCGGTGAGCTGATGTGATCTGGTGTCGGCAGCGCCTGGAGGAGATCATGAAGCGGACCCGCAGAAGCGACGCCGGAGAAAAGGTTGGTGTGAGCCGCCCCGAGTCGCCGATTATTGTTGAGGCGTAAAAACACAACGCTGCTGTTGTTCCGTCCTCAGAAGGACGTCCTAGCGCCGCCGCAGGTCAACGGCTCCGAGCCCAACCAAGGTCACGGTAAGGTTGCCGCATGACACCGTGTTGCAGAAACATTCCTCCTCGATTGGTTTCCGAAAGAAAAAATACAAAACTGAACTCAGCAAATCAAAATGAACTTGGTGAAATCAGCATCTGGATGCAGCAGAGCTGAAAGCAAACAGTATCTTACCTCCAACTGCAAGGATTGGATTAAATCCACAATGAAAACAGTAAAAATTATTATTGAAATGAGCAAAAACGAAACAATCAATTTTTAAAAACTCACTAAAATAAACCTAAAACACAACATGCAGTAAATACAAAGAAATACTTTTAGTTAAAGTAACGGGAGCAAAATAAAATACTACAAACATGACCTTAAAAAAACAGTCATTCTATGGCAAGAAAAAAATATATATCAGTGTGATGTATGGCAAGACGACTTTATTTTTATATCACAGCAAAGATCAGAAACACAAAAAGAAAAACTTTAGAATAATTTTACAGTTGAAACCTTAAACAAGAAAACAGTGAAATGTTCAATCTGACATCATAAAACATGTTTATTCAATATTACACATCATTTTAGGTGTTTCAGGTCAAATATGAAATTTTATTAAAAAAACAGTAAAAATAAAAAGCTGCATTTATTTCTTCCTTCTGTGTTTCGGCTTAAAAATACATAAACTGAAGCTTTTCTCCACTTTGTTGATAAAAATACATAAAATGCATAGTATATGTAAATATGTTCTTTAAACATATGAACTTTACGTTATGACAAGTTTAACTTGAACAAAACAGATTTTACAATTATTTTTTAATTTTAGTAGATCAAGTATATCAATTGTTAAAGTTAATAATAAACAATAAAAATAATTAATAAATAATATTAATAAATTATTTTATTAATGATAAAAGTAGAATTATGAAGAATTAATAGTAACAATAATAAATGTCTCTGCAGCTGCTGCCCCCATGCTGGGCCCTGGGCTCCCGGCCCCGGGGCCCCCTCTGACCAGCCCTGTGGACATTAATGGCGTCCAGCCCGCCTCGCATCAGAACGGCGTCTCAGGCAACGGCGAGCTGGAGCGCCGTGCCTTTGAGGGGTCAGAGCCTTACCTGAGGAAGGCGGGAGCCATGAAGCCACAGCCTGTGGCAGGTAACCAATCAGAGTGCAGCTTTCACCAGGCGAAAGGAAAAGTGAACAAACTCATCATCTTCTCTTCTATCTAGCTGCAGAGGTTCTGTGAATCACCATGGAGACTGCCTGGAGGTCACGCCCCCCTGAGGCCACACCCTTCAGACCAGCAGAGTGCCAAACGTGGAGGAACTGAAACTTTAAAACTTTGTGTCACTTCCAGCGCTGAACCTGGAAAGGTTTTCCTTCCAGCTGCAGCTGAGATGGAACGGCTGCAGCTGATTGGCCGAAACCCGACCGGACGGCTGCAGCTGATTGGCCGAAACCCGACCGGACGGCTGCAGCTGATTGGCCGAAACCCGACCGGATGGCTGCAGCTGGTTGGCCGAAACCTGACCGGACGGCTGCAGCTGATTGGCCGAAACCCGACCGGACGGCTGCAGCTGATTGGCCGCCTCGCCACTCCTGATCTGACCCTGGAGCAGTGGCTCCTGTTATTATTCTGCTGTTGTGTCTTCTTCAGTTCTGTGTGTGTGTGTGTGTGGGGGGGGGGGGTGTATGCATGTGTGTGTGTGTGTGTGTGTGTGTGTGTATGCGTGTGTGTGTGTATGCGTGTGTGTGTGTGTGTTTCTGTCGTTATTTAAGCCGCTCCTGTAAATGTCAAAACCGGCGGCTGCTTCCTGTTCAGGACAAATAAAGCTTTGAGGAAACAGAGTCAAGCTGCCTGCTTCTGTTCTCACCATGATGACGTCATCATGATGATGTCATTGGGTTCTGGGTGGTTCTGATGCACAGCTCCTCGTTATTCTGACGGTCAGCAGGAAACCCGGTTGCTCAAGGTGCTGCAGATGTTGCACGGAGCGACAGTGAAGAGGAAAACAGGAAGGAACGTCCAGCAGAACCAGAACTTGGATCAGAGTTTAGAGCGGACAGAACCAGAACCACAGAACCTGGTGCATCTTTATCAACTGATGTGTTAAATATAGATATACTAATAACTTGAATCTTGCGGCCTGCTTCATCATGTGGAACATCCATCTTAAGTAGATTTCCTTTAATTGAGCTAAACTGATCAACCAGCTCTCTGAAAGTAATTCTATTGATTCAAAGAATTTGCATAATAATTTGGAATACAGTGTAGTAACTGATGCAAATGATGATTCATACTAACAAATTTAGCAATTTTCAGTTTTTCCTGGAATAAATTAGTTGAATTTCCACAACAGAGCGAAGCAGGAGGAATATAATTTTTATCAGGTTGGAAACAAACTTTTCTTAATTTTAAAGTTTTATTATGAATTTATTAAGCCATAAATGCAGTAAAGGTTTTACTTTTTATTGCTGAAATTATAATTTTGTTTGTAGACCAACAGAACCGAAAACATTCGACCCAAAAAGTCCAGAACCTGACAACAATTCTTTATTGAGCTCCACCTAAATATTAATATAGCAAGTTTGAAGATAAATATTTAACTTCAAACTAAGTGTTTAGCTTGCTAATTACATTTTGTGAATGAATATCACTGTGATAAATGAATCATATTATTTTCTCTTATGACAGACTAAATAACCCGAGTCACTTCTTTAGTTTTTCACTAACAGACTCCGGTCTTCCAGCAGAGTCTCCCTCTCTGTGCTTTGAACAGACTTCAGACAAAATGAATCAGATCTTGTCTTTCCTCCTTGCAGCCTCAGAAAGGCTGCGGTGGAGGCTGGAGGAGATCTGATCGTCACTGTCTCTATTTCCACCGGTTGGATTAACGCCTCATCAGATCCGCATGTGGCCTCGCATTGTGCTGGAAGGAGGATCTGCTGCAGTTCATTTTAACCTCGGCATGAACAACTGGCTGCAGAGGACAGCGGGAGGAGTTAAATGTTTCAGCGGAAGGTCAAAGGTGAGCTGAGGGCCGAGGCGGGACGGTCCGGCGACCATGTGGGGAAAGTTAACCCATTTAAACCCAAATGTTTCCCAGACATGAAAATATTAAAATCAGATGTCATTGATATTCCTTTGAACTAATCAAGAAAAATGATTTCAAAAACTGTAGAAATGTCATGACTTCAGCGTTTCTGCTCCACCTTCTGTGCTGATTGCTCATCACTCTCACCTGCACTGTGCTGCTCCCTATTTATACAGCTGATTTTCTCCAGCTCAGTGTGAGATCGTCTGTTGCCCTTGTCACAGCTTTCAAGCCATTGTTTCATGTCTCAAGGAGTTTTCTGGTTTACTGATCCTGCCTGTTTTTGACCTTAGATTCTGCCTTGTCCTTCGGCTGCTGAAAGTTTTCTGATCTCCTGGTAAAGAACCCTGCCTGTCGCTGACCCTGCCTCCTGCTTGCTGTTTGCTGGATATCTGTGCCTGTGGCTCTCCTGTGTATGACCCTGGATCGTCTCTCTCCGTCTCTGGTTTGTGGACTTTGCCCCTGTGGTCTGTTTGTTCTCTGACCCCCCAAGACTGTCTGTTGTCCTGTCATCCTACTTCGTCCCACCCCCGGCTGGATCCCTGTCCCCTGTGAATCCCTCCTCCCTTATCTGCTCATTTTTCCCACCCGTTCAGTCCCGTCTAAATTATTATTTTTATCATTAAAACTTCTGATTTAACTTTCTCCTGTGTTGGCTGCGTTTTGGGTTCTGGCTTAGTTTGCTTATCATTACAAGAAAAAGATTTTTAAAAAGTGTTTTATGATCGATGGATGATCTGGATGAGCTAAAGTGCTTTTTCCAAATAGAGAAGATCATAAAAGGTGAACATTGTTTCTTTATCTGAATGTATCTCATCAAATCATGACTTTAGTGCAACTTTTGCTCTGTAAAGTTAAAATTTGACTCTATTATAAACCAGTGAGTGCTTGTTTATGTATAATTATATTGAACTGCAGTCTGTTGTGGTGTTATCATGTTAACATAGATCATAAAGATAACATCTATAGTTCATTTACATGAGAAAAAATCATGAACTTCTGTCAGCCTCACTGTCAGTCAGTAATAAACTGGATCTTCAACTCCAGGGATTGTCAGGCATCTTTTCCATCCGTCTCTGCTTCAAAACACCTGAATCAGGTGATGAGCAGGACTCTGGGGAACTGGACTGCACACTGAGGAGGTGATCATGTGACTCAGGTGTGTTGGACCAGAGACACACCTGGAAGTTGCAGGATAACTGAACCCAAGGCCTGAAGTCAAAGCCCAAGTGTTTGGCTCCATTTGGTGACTTTGGTATTCTTCAATATGGGGTTATTTCATCCCCTCTTTACTTTCCGTGATCCTTCTTGAAGCACTCAATGTGCAATAAAGCCTTGAACTTCTCACAGCCATGAATGGAGCAAAAGCAACATCTCTGGAAACATCTTGAAGAGAAGAGTCAATTTGAGATGTCTTTCCATGACCTACTGACCTTGTGCCAAACTTTTAAGATAATGAGCCTCAACCCAAATCAGTCATCGCTCCTACAACACATTTGTAAAATAATATCTAAAAGGTAAATGGCCTGTACCTGTATAGTTCTTTATCAAGTCCAAAACACCTGTGTCACGATCGGTGGCATGGAGGTGAAACAAATGATTTAATGGCATATAACAGCAAATACAGTCCAAACTCAGTCCCAACACCGGGCAGCACGGCCGAGCCGAAGCCTGGCCGAGCCGAAGCCTGGCCGAGCAGAAGCCTGGCCTGGACACCTGTAGCACCGGATCAACGAAGGGGAGGAGCCACACCACAGGGAGAAGAGACGCCACGTGAGACGAGGACCCGACGAGGACCAAGAGACACAGGTGGGGTTAAATACACTGAGGCTAATCAGGGGAACAAGACACACCTGGGAACAATCAAGGGGAAGACAGGACAACGAGGAGACTCAGGACACAGAAAACTCAAATAAACACAACAGAAAAACATGAAACACAACAACCTGAAAGTGCTTTTCTCCACATTTAGTCAACACTCCTGGAAATTGAAGCTCTGCTGCCAGGAAGTCGTCCCAGCATGGCTTATCTATGAAATGTCAACATTTTTACCAGCGTTGCTCTGGTAAAAGGAGCTCACCAGGTTTTTGCTAATTGCTGTTGGCTAGTCTGAAGGAGCTGAGGGGGGAGGAGCTGCGCATCAAAGGCATGGATAGTGAGTAGTTGCCATGGAAATTAAAGTATTTCTCAAACCTGAAAGAATGAAAGCAACACTGCAAGAAAAAACATGATTAAAACCAGTTTATTTTACATGATACTGGCCCTTTAAAGGAGTGGGTGGGGCTTAGAGGGAGAGAGGAAACAGAAAAATCATTTGGAGGATTTCGTCCATAATTGGCTGATCACTGATGCAGCTTTCATCAGTGATCAGCTGAGATGTTCAGAGCGGCTCCAGTTTGACATTAAAAGCTTCATCAAAATAAAGTTCTTCCTGACAAGCAGGAAGAAGAATAAATGCAATAACACTGATTCAAAAAAAATTAGTTAAATGTGAAATAGAATTTTTAAAATATTTTCATTAATGTTGAGAAAATATGAATAAATATTGAACTTTTAAATGATCATTATATGAGGATAAAGCAGAGTTTTAATGGTAAACCTGCAGAAAAATGATGCAAAATGATGTTTCAGGTGTTTCCATGGTGATGCAGGTCAATAACTTTCATTGTCTGCTTGAACAGAAACAATAATTACATTTTTATAGTTAACTATTGTGCCAACTGTATCACTTTCAAAGATGAACTCTTCAATCAGTATTTTAAATGAAATAATCAGAAATGATTTTAGGAAGTGGAAATGAATCGAGCCAGACGGACAAACATTCCCAGGCTGGTGAATCCTCCGTGTGTCGCAGGTTGAAGCTGGTGGATTTCTCTGGCATCGTCCTGCAGGTCTGTCGTTGGTTTCAGGATCATTTTAGCTGAAACTCTGAGTGCTCTGCAGGATGCTGTCACTCTGTCGAAACAGAAACTTATAGTCTATTTAAGCTGTAGGAAACAGCTTTCATAGACAAATTGTTAAATTTGTTATAAATGTGAAAAAGTTGCTCCTGCTGCTTTAGGCTTTTATCTTTGGATCTGAGCTTTTGAAAAACAAAAAGTTTATTCGTTTTATTAGGATGGAACTAAATTGATATTAAACAAGTCTCAGTATTTTGACCTTCAATAGCAGACTGCTGCATCAGGTCCTTCCTCCCTGCAATTGTCAGACTAATCATCACGGCATTTTAATGACCCATTATTCTGTTTTTTAAAAATAACATCTCTGCTGTTACTGAATATCTGTTTTTTGAACAGTATATTTATAGCCTGTTGCCTGTTGTCTCCTTAATGTTCAATACACATATTAAGTGTTTAAAAAGTTCACCCCATCAGGATATTTTTTCTGTTTCTGTTAACTTGAGGGTATTTTAAAATTTATTATCTTTTACGATATAATTATCATTATTACTGTTAATCTTAATATTTTACCCCACTTAATATTTTAACACCTTTTTAATTTTCTGCCTACATATTTTGATGCTGCTGTTAAAGCTGTATTTCCCCACTGTTGGACAATAAAGGTTATGTCCTTTTTACTTTAGTTTCTTCTTCTTTGGACCAAACTGGCGTCTGTCAGACTAGTTTAGCTTTGTGACCTCCGGGGTGTTTGGCACTAAAATGTCTCCGGTCTCTTTCTTCCCGCTCTGTTCACGTTACAGGCTACGTTCACACAAAGTCTCGCGTGAATTGGCCAGACCGCCTGTTACCATCAGCTAGCGTCAGCTCGCTGGTTCGAAGCCGTTGAACTTCGCTGCGACCAGAACCGAGCTTTTTGCTACAGTTTCCCATCAGAGACAACGTTTGGTTTATGTTTATGGGCCAGTACACAGCAGTGGACCTCCGGGTTTCCTGTGTTTCCCTTCTGCTGTTAATCGGGGCAGCCAACGGCTAACCCGACAGCAGCTAGCTTACTAGCATCGTTAGCTTCGGCTGCAGAGGAACCAGGAAGGAGGCGGCGGAGCTGCAGGCGTTTGGGCCCGAACCTTCCGCGGCTCCCCAGAACGCTCATCCGGATCCACAGAACCAGAACATCTGCAGAAGGAGAAAGGTAGAGCGAGTCTATTTTGTAGCCGGTCGAGCAGCTGGTTAAATTCAGAACGTGGTTAACATTGATCGGTTTAACGGTTAAAGGTTCGGCCGCGGAGATGAACAGAACTCCCTGGAGTAGATCTGGTACATTTAATCTGGATTTGCTGGGATTTCAAGGTGGCACATTCACCAGACTTCACTTCCTGTTTCAATGTGGAAAACTGGAAGTTTTAGCTGGTTTCGGGTTCTGGATGATCAGACATTTTAAAGCTGATTTCTGAGCCAGTTTAGGTTCCTTGGTCAGAACCGAAAGTTCTGACCCAAAACTACTTACAAATGGTGGCCTGGGTTGATGAATATTCTGATACTTTTAGAGTTGAGAACAAAGTCAGGTAATTTGATGATCCTGTTGTTCTGCCTAAACTTAATGCATTCATGCGTTTTGCCTTATGTTTATGAAGACTCTGCCTTTAGCATGGCTGGCTTTCAAGTATGATCATCTTTGGAAAAAACTATTTACAACAATAGTTATTGACTTGCGGACTATCTGGTTCTGGTAAATTAAACAGGTTTGACCAAAATCTAAACAATAATCTTCATGTTTGTCTGGAATGAATGAAATGATGCCAAAGCTGATCAGGATCACCCAACATGATCACAGTTTTATGGATCCAATAATCCAGAACTGGATCAGAATATAAACAGATCGAAGGTGAGATTATATTTCTAATTCCTGTTCACCATTTTGTTGGATTAGCTTAATTTGATCTGGTTTAAAACTGATCAGAATATAAACATTTAGACTGTGAATGTGTTTGGAAAAGGAGGCAATTCAAGATGGCTTCCTGCCACAGATCACTGAGTGGAGCTCAGAGAGACGGTTCTGTTGGGTCGGGTGCCCGTCTGCAGACTCCAGGAGCCACATGTTCAGATCATAAAGCCGTTTTAGATCCAACATGGCAGATCTGACAATGAAATGGAAAATCATTAAAATAGCATCATGGGACCTTTTATTTTCATGAAATGAAAACGTCTCCCTTCCTCCTGTGTGCTTTATGTAAATATATGATCTCTGGACTGACGGACAGAAACCATTATGGCCGCTTGCTTGGCGCATAGTAACTGTTGCTAGGCAGACCTAAAACAGAGGGACAATGGAGGCGGCGGCTGGTTATGGGTCACTAAGGCAGACGAAGCTGCAGCAGCAGTTTGGTGTCACTCACAGGAGAAACGCTACTTCCTGTTCCTCCCTGTTGCTTCCTGTTCCTCCTTGTTACTTCCTTCTACTTCCCGTTACTTCTACTTCCTACTTCCCATTACTTCCTGCTCTGGGTTTCCATTTTGATTTTAAATATCGCAAAAAATTGTTGAATGTGAAATGGCTGCTACATTGATTAAATAATTAATCTCAGGAATTAATTTTTGAAATAATTGTCAACGAATTGAGTCATTTATTAATTGTTAACTGGA